ATTTCTTTAAAGAATGAAAAATCTCATGTGTATCTTATGTTAGTAAATCACACATACACAATAAGTGAAACTACATGTAACACATATATACAACAATTTCTAAAAATGTAATGGATTTTTTTTTAATCTGACTGATTTTATCACTTAAATGTTATTTTTAGTGGATACACATATTTGAGAAGACACTGTTTATTTATTAAATGTAAGGCTGGTACAACATGTTTATTTATTAAATATTCAAGCCAGTAGATGAAAATAAATAAATATATCATTTAATAAGTAAACAGAGCATCTACTTAAATATGAATAGCCACTAGAAATAATGTTTGAGTAATAAAATCTGTCAAGTTAATAAATAAAAGATGTATTACTTCTTTAGAAATTGCTTCATTTACATTTGGATATGAAACTGAGGAGATATGAAATTTTGAGAATCTATGACAAGAGGGATTTCACTTAAAGGCACTATTCAGCCTTCCTTGATTGGCAAATGTTCTTCATGGCTAATGACAGTTTCCCGTGCCAGAGGACACATATTTTTCTTTAATAAGATTTCTTGAATATTTAGGCAAGTAGATGAAAAAAAAGAAGAAGAAATGTACTGTTTAATAAAGAAATGGAGCGACTACTCAGATATGAGTCTCTACTAAAAATAACATTCAAATGAAAATATTTGCACAAGAACAATATTCATGTTCTAAAAGTCACACTAAAGAGAGAAAGTTACATCAGTTAGGTATTGTGAATGTTATAGATAAATTGACTTTTTCATTTTAAGTGATATATATTACCTCTGTCCCGAAATATTTGTTACATTTGCATATAAATTTCATACACTGAATGTAATAACTATTATAGAACAGAGATATTATAAGAATTAAGCCCACTTCTTAGATGGAGCTGAATATAGCAATGTTCATGCCTTTACTAAATGAAGAACTTTTTGTTTTGGTGCTGGGTCTAAAAGGCCAAGCTTACTTGCTTGGAAATGTATATCTACAATGAAAATGAAAAATTAAATAGAGATTTATGTAATTGATTCTAACTTACATGATGTTGACAATGGAATCATCCATTTTTAATGTCCACAAATAATTAAAAATTTACTAACAAATAATGTTTGATAAGTTAATAAGAACAAGAGAAAGAGAATAAGTGGATGACAAGGATTGTATGCAATGTAATTCATTTCTCTGCAAGTCACTGGTTTTACGAGTCAACAATTACTTTCTTTTCATTCTGCTTTTACAGAGAAAAGAAGAAATATTTGCCTTGTTTCTTTAAGAAAAGTGTTCTGTTGATAACCTCTGAGGTAAAACTGATGTTTACTGATGCCTCCATAATGTTCCCAAGGGAATAGAGATCAAATATAATATCTTATGGCCTATAGGTTTCTAAAAAATGTTGACATCTATTTAGAGAGAAAGTAATATTCCTTAGGGACATTTTGAAAGCTATTGTACATTATGTTAAGCTTGATACTGACAAATGGTGATAACACGGTATAGCAGAATAGATTTATTCATAATGAAGCACTTGCAATGATAATGACAATATAGACAATGTGTGATTATCCTTGAAAGTGCTTTTGTTTTTTATTAGGTTTTAGCCACTTTAGTTTTACTATGTCAAATTACTTCATCTGAACCTCACTGAAATAGACTCTAATATTTATATGTAGTCAACAAATCTGTTGCTACTGAACAAAGTATAATTAAACTCAAGTTATTTAATGCAGAGTTATTGATCATAAATCATTATATAAAGTAAATTGCATTTCCTTTAAATCAAATCAAGAACCAAGGAAGAAGAGTTTTACTCTATAACATTTATTAATATGGCTAGTATTGAATTATTTTGCTTTCTTTCTAATAAAAATCCAACAGATTTACAAGAATATCAACAAAGGATCTTTGTTAGCTTTTTTGTTCTTCTTCAAATCCTTAAAAGCAATGTCAATGTATTCTTAAGCTTTGTTTTTAATTCCATCAAAATAGCTGAATTACCACATTATTCTTCATATACAATTTTTAAAAAAAAATTGTCCATAATTATTTTTAGCAGAAAGAGTAAAAATCAACATTGCTACATTCTAGTGTAAATATAATTAGGTAAAACAAAGCTTAAAAACTGTCTTGGACATGATCTGGTTAGAAAAAAAAAGCACTTCCTTTTTTAAAATTAGGTTCAATATTTGAGATATATTTTTAAAAAATTAATAGACAATTTTTTTTAGATAACAGAAAATAAGCAGGAAAAAGTACAAAAATAATAAATGAAAAATCAGGCATTGAGGAGAAACATTCTGATTGTTATTTTTTTTCTGTTCAACTCTTAATGATAGCATTAGTTGATGAGTAAATTCTACAGCTCAGAAATATGTGCATATATTTTGTACACATTTGTAAAGCAAATGTAGCCATAAAGTAATGATTCTGTATATTCTGTCTTATAAAGATGTATTGTGATTTTATTAATGATTCACTACAGTTGTCAATTTTTCCAAGCCATGAATTTTCCAACTATGAATTTCTATTTGGTCAATAGTTTTAGTTAATCCTCAAAAGACTACAAGGATTGCAATATTAGGCTGCTTTTGAAAAGTCAGTGCTACTAAATTTTGAATTTTCTAATTTGCAAATGTTGGGGCAATTTTTAAAATGAGCTGGGCTAATTTGGGCTGCTAGCAAGAAGAAAGTCAATTTGAAATTGAACACTTGTAGCCCAATCAGATAACTCTGATAAAAAAGAAAATGGTTAAAGAGACAAAAAAAAATAATTGTTACTACAAAGCATAACATAAAGCATTATATATTTTCAACTTGACTCATAATTATTTGCAATAATTCTACTTCATATAATTGTTTACTGATTAATTTTTTTCTGCAAAAGAAAATGCATGAAGAATCCAGTGTAATATTTTCTTAATGTTTAATTTCTGGAAGTATAACTGAGAAGTATTATAATGAACTGTGAATAAACCCTGATCAAAGACTTTTTTAAATGTCATATCTTTTAAGGATGTAGGTGATCATGGCCCTCCACAGATTACTTTTTTTTTTTATTATCTGTGAATTGCCATGACTTCTTGGGAAAAATAGCAGAGTGGTTTCCTGTTGTTTTCTCCATGGTTTTGAATTTAGTCTACTAGACTGGCTGCCACCGATGTCTACCCTGCTATTTAATCCATAGCTGGGCTAGAAGAAATAGACTGATGCCATTACCAAGAGCATTAGTATAAATGAATGCAACAAAGCTGGAACTTGAACTCAGATCATAACCCCTCCTTCTACCTTGATATCCACTATACTACCTGTACACCTAAGCTATTATTAACTTATTAATAGTATTATTAATTCTAAATTATCAATTTTAGTGTATTAGTTGAATTACCAACCAATGCTTTAGAGTAAATTCCCAAATGAATAACAATCACAAAACAAAGGCAATCTACAAAGAGTAAAATAATACAGCAAAATGAAATGAGGCTGTAGATTGACTGAGAATTTGGGAAAGACAAAAAGTAGATAAGAAGAAAACAAAAATAACTGGTGACTGATAAAAGTTGCTTGCTTTTAAAAAATTAAGTCCAGTAATAATGATGAAAAAAAAAAAAAATGAAGTCATTGCGCTTAGCTGCATATCAGAAGATATCAAGTTGGAGTTCGGCAAGTAAAAGTGCAATAAAGACTTCATGAATAATCTAGGCACAAAGATCTGCATGAAGCTATTCAAATTGAATAAGAAATCAAGAAGAGCCAATAAAATATATGAGACACCTGCCCCAAAAGATGATATGTTGTGCTTTGGCTTCCTTCCGATGAACAATGATTCTTTTTTAGTTTTGACTTCTACTCTACTCATCATGGTTATCTGCCAAGAGTTTGAGATGAATCTCGACTGTTTTATATCTCTACAGTTCTGTCCTATCTTTGCTGCATATTTAGATTACACTAAAGTCCTTTCTCTTCATCTTTCTTTCTCTATATAAAAATAAATAAATGGATTTTGAAATCCTCCCTGAATTATTTATGTTATTCACTCATGAATGTATTTATGTATGTCACAAAAAGGTTTATCTTTTCACATATAGGAGTTCATGTAAAGAACATAATCAAGGAGAAACATAGTAACATTAATGTCTAACTTATTATGTCAGAAGCTAAAAAATATTGGATTTTGTTATCAAAGAAAAAATGCTAAGTTATAACTTGTAAGTTTGTATAATTGAACCATGAACCTGACAAAAGTTCTTGCCCTTATAGTGGGTCATTAATTTTACAACAAAAAGTAATTCTGCAATTATGACAGGGTGATCTGCATATGAAAAGATCATACAAAATAGAAATATTGTATGAATCAAATTCTTTGTCTGTTAATCAGAGTGATAAATCAGCAGTAAGTGGGTGTATAGATTAGAGAAATCAAAAATTGTGTAGACAAGAAACCTCCTACTTGACTAAAATAATATTTTAGACTGAATAATAATTTATGCCAGTCTTGAATACTAACCACAAAACTAAAAAACACATTTCTCCAGCTTTTCTAGCTACACATGACAACATAGATAAAAACTCCACAGGATTACCTTACTTGAATATCATATTTATTTATATATTAGACATGGTAATGTATTTCTGCTAATATCATATTCTGAGGCAAATACGATGCATTTCCCCACTTCTCATCACCTCCAAAATTTTGACCCTCCATATCCTTGTCAAAATATCGAGCATTTTGAAAGTCTTATATGCTGCAAAATACAGGAATTATTTCTGCACATACTGAGAAATGTATGCCTATGCAAATGCAACTATTTAAACCCACTGAATATTGCAAGTTAAAATTTGACACCAATGAATCAAATGTTTCCATTTTCTATGTGAAAGCAAGTATCATCAATTTAATATCTAAAATGGATCCTGAAAGCCTTCTGACTTACTCTGCCTGTGTCTCAATCTTACAAGCATGTTCACATGAGAGTATTAGTCAATACTTACACATTGGTCTCAACTGGTCAGCCAATTCATCCTTGGTCCACTCCTTCTTCTCAAAGCCATAGGAGAGCACTGGAATGCTGAGCTTGGCACTATCTGGGTAGGGTACATTGAGATAATGCACCAAGACTATGTCAGGGTTCTGAAACAAAAGTAAATGGTTATACAAATTCATTTGAAATGGACAAAAACAATTAAAAAATAATAAAATTAATTTTGTACATCACAATAATAAATAATGACTATGTTAATCTCCAAAGATTTGACTTTTAAGAAAAATATTTAAGTTTTTCAATAGCAACAAATACAACTTGACATGTGGTAAAACAAACACAAGTAAATCAATAATCAGCAGTTGCATAATAACATTTAATATCTTTGTTGGGCTGCAGATGAAATTATAGAGAAAGATACTAACATGAAGAAGAAACAAACACAAAATAAAAGACAGGAATGCACCGAGATTATTTGTAAATACTTTATGCTCTCTCTCTCTCACTTTTACTCTCCCTAAACAAAAGGCATGACTGATTTTACAAGATATGAGACCAATTTTAAGTTGATATATTGTCTGAAAACAATGTACTTGTGATGATAACTAAATAACAGTGTGCTGGATTGGAAACAAACAAGTTGAAACTACAATCCCAAGTGACAGCTTAATGAGATCTCTTACCATACACTCATTAAAGCAGAAGAAATGTTTGACTTTCTCTGAACCATCATTTTTGTACTACTAAAATCCATGATAAACAAATATTAAATAACCACTTTGTAAAGACAATCTAAAAGCATTCTTTATTAACAGAAGTTTAAATTATACATATATATATATATATATATGTTTCATAAAAATTGATTTTTAATCCAAATATGCAGTCATACATCAAATATATAAGTAAATGTCAAATATAATGGCCAGTGGAGAAGTTCCAAGCAAGCAGCAACAGCCAAGCCCAGTATTAATCAATTCATGTTAAATATATTTAGACCATAGCAGCCAATGAGTTCATTGGATTAGTTTCACATGTATGGAATAGTTACAAAGCAGAACACCTACTAACTGTAATTCATAAACGTTCGTCGTGGTAGGAAGATTTTCAATCAATATAAGCTGTGAAGGACAAAAAATATTCTGATTCAGAAGTTTTTTCAGATTAATATTCTTATTTGTGTGGACATTTTAATGCATTTCAGTCAACAGGTTTTCTGCTCTCTTCTACATGACACAGGATTTTATTTTTTACACATTGGCACTCACTCAGCCACACAATCCATATATATATATATATATATATATATATATATAGAGAGAGAGAGAGAGAGAGAGATAGATGTAATCAATGTTTTATACAGTCTTACTGCTTAAGCAATTTAACTGAAAAACCTTTTGAAGATATAAGTTTTGTAAAATGACTATCTTTAATGTTGAAGATTATCAAATGTGGAAAAGATACTTCTAATTGTTACCATAATCTTCAGATGAAGCAAAATTCATGTTTATATTTATAATGTTGAATTAAATGTTTACTATTTAACACTAAATAGCAAGTTAGAAGTAATCTTTTTAAGGAGAGAAATTTTGAAATGTCTAATAAAAATTTTATCTGAATATTAAAAATAAACTGTAGCTTGAAAATATATTATTTACTGTTAGAATAATTAACATTAATTATGAGAAATATTTTCCATGTTAAGAAAAACCTTTACCTTAGAAAAGCATAAAAAAATTTCTCACATGCTTTACAATCTGATTATTCACTATCTTAACTTAAATGACCCCAAACAAAATATGAAATTCTATATTGTGTACACAGATATATAAACTAAATGTGTAGAGCATATTATTGTTAATCAGATAATAGGTCCCAAAGAGAGGGAAATCTGTGGAAATATTTTAGAAATTTCCCTCCAAGATATGAGAATGAATTTAGCAAATAATAGTTCCTTATTATGATTAGTAATAAATATTGGTAGATATTCAGTTTTCTAAATTAAAAATACACAGGAACTTATCTATTGTGAGTTCAGTATCTACTTGGGCCAAAGAATTTTGATCTGGCCTGATTAAATTCCGTGCTTTAGTAATATGTTACAATTATGGGGTTGAATGTAGTTAGTGACCAACTTACTTAATGTAAGTATTTTTATTCTGCTGAGACAAGAAACAATTTCACATAGGCTATATTTGACGTATAAAAGCAATGCAGTAATATTTCTACCTTCAGTCAAGTTGGACATATGGCATTTAACACTTGAGTGTTATTGTTTTCACTATAAATGAACATCATTGAAACCTTTTAAATGCTGATACAGGCAACCAGAAAATAGCACAGACAGAAAAAAAAAGTTTAAAAACATCAGATATAGTGAGCTACTAAAAAATACTATTGGACACTAGTGGACATATTGGAAAACATTTCTGTAATGGGTATTTGGTAATAAAAAGAAAATGTGTTTACATTAATTACTGAATGTGTTTCCTTTTTGTAAAAAGATAAGTCAAATGTGTGTGTGTGTGCAAGAGAGAGAGAGAGTACTATATGTTTGTGTGTACTTTTCTGTACGTACATATTAACAATATATAATATTGAATTAAGTCAATGATAATGGAGTATATAAAAGCATTTGCTGTTTGGTAGCTAAGTGAATAAGTTTTATATTCAAAACCTTATACAACAAAGAAAAAAATGTCCACAATCAAAATACAAATGTGTTACTTGTTAACCATTACAGCTGTATAGAAAATCAAGAGGACATCATGCATACACTAATTTTAAAAAAATATCAAGACACTGTTTTTTTTTTCAAAGAGCAAAAGATAAATATCAGTAATAGCATTGGTTTTTCATTAGTTTTATTTTTTATTAATTCAATGAGTTTTTTTTTTTTTTTAGCCTGGCTCTGATAATTGATAGAAATTAATCACTTTTGGAGTGTTAGCTAATTATCTTTGTTATTTAATATCTTTTTTTTGGTCAACAATATATAACATTAAAAAATAAGCTTGAATGAATGATCAGAAAACTATCAATTAATTGCATTTAAAAGTGACATTTGTAAAAGTGAATAATCGCAGCCATAAAATTTATGTACTGAAAAGTTTCAAAGAGAAATGTAAAAAATATTTTAAAAAAAAACGAAGGAAAGCCTGAGTTTTTAAAAGTATGTGGTTGGAGATTAAATAACCATTATATGTCATCTATAATTTAAATAAAGCCAACTTAAATTTCCATACTTTTATCAATGATTGCTTGTATTTTGCTAATGATTGATCATTTTAAAGCTGAAGGAAAAGACCTCTTCATGCATACAATAGAGGAAAATACGGATACAGTCAAGAATCAACACAAAGCTATATTTATTTTGTAAATTGCTGTTTAGAATTACTATACTCAATATAAAATTATACTTGAGAATTTTAAATTAAAAGTTATTGCGAAAATAAATATATACTTGTACATGTGAATATGAATGAATATTGATAAAAATTGTCATTCTTAAACAAATTTATCTTTTTTCAATAAATTACATTAATCTTTGATATATTTTTAATTTTCTTATCATGGTGATGCCACAACCATTATACTCCACAGTGGAATCTACAGAGTTAACAGCATATGTCTTATTTTCTTTTTTAAATTAAGTTGATGAATGGATATCTGATAAGATTTTACCAACAAATTTACAAATGACATGTTTCCATACATTTTAAAGTTATAAGCTATTTAAAATATATATTTGTTTGTATCAAAAGTATTTTCATTTTTTTACAGGCATATTTACTCCAAACCATATTTCATGTACAGATCTGAAGGCAATCTGTGATGATTATTATTATTATTATCAATAATAATAATAATAATAATAATAATGATAATGATAATAATAATAATAATAATAATAATAATTCAGTTGTAGCTTCTACTTTCAGATGTTATGACAGAAAAGTGTTTTGGGATTCTGGCAATTTTGAGGCAACATTTTAAACTTGACCTAAAAGCCATTAAATCTGTTCACAGAATTCAGGAAACATTGATTGTACTGACCAAAATTGATTTAATTATTTTAAGGGTCATGACTTGTCTCTTGAAATAAATTTCAGAAATTAAATTGATGAAGCAGGTGTTTATATCTACAGACTGCAGAAAATTACAATCTGAACATAAACTGACTTTCATTGCTTATTGTATTAAAACTATCACAGAATTATATTTGGTCTTTTAATGAATTTCAGTTGATAGTTTAGTTGATCATTCATCAGAACAACAATATTGTAGGATTATGAAGACCCAGCACTAATAAATATATTTTACAATTTTGATAAAAACAATGGAATGGTGAGTATTTTTCATTAAATTATGTACCATTCCTTCCTGATGTAAACAAAAATTGTACAATCATTTAGCAATTATAAAGCCGAGCTAAAATAGGTATTAATTAAAAAGATTAAAAAAACCTCATTTAAAAAAAAGAAAGGAACTAGTTCAAGTCTTAAGCTAGTGCTAATAAATTATATTATTGCATATCGCTAAGAGTTAGTCCACTGGTATTATCTCACAAAAGAAAGCATTAAAGAGAGGAATTATATATTATTATATTATTAAAGAGAGGAATTATATATTATTATAAAGTATTGAAAAGTGTCCTTAATTTATAAAGACTTAAAATAAAAAGGAGAATATGATTGGAATGAAAAATAAAGCAAAAAGATAAATACAAGTGTTTAAAGAAAAATGTTAATATTTTGGTGGGGACAATTTTTGAAGAAAGTGAAAAGAAAGAAAAACATTTCATGACTGAGAAGTGAGCCATGTTAAAGCTTAACTGATTAATTCTAGAAATTTTCAACTGCTTTCAGATATTTAAACTTTTAGTTGTCAAGGTGGGGCATAGAGTTAAAAAGGTTAGAAACCACTGAATTAGAGTCTTTTTTATTTTTTAAATATTAATAATAAAGAACAAAATGACTACTATAAATCCAACAAGAAAAACTGAATAATATTGATGTAGAAATAGCAAAAGATAAAGAAAGCTGATATATATTTATGGAGGATGGTGGTGGATACAATATTAAAAAATTAAATACATTTTTGTACAGACATGGAAGGAAAATGAATACACTTCATATTTTACACACCA